GTTCCTTAAAAAGCTGGAATTAGAAATACCATTTGACCCAGCAATTCCATTACTAGGTATATATCCTAAAGAAATGAGAACCAGGACAAGAACAGATGTATGCACACCCATGTTCATTGCAGCACTGTTTACAATAGCAAAAAGATGGAAACAACCTAGGTGCCCATCAATAGAAGAGTGAATAGCCAAACTATGGTACATACACACAATGGAAGTAGTGTCAAGTAGTCAAGTCAAAGTCTTTACAAAGTTTGAATAACTGTCTCTATTAAAAAAAAAAAGGTAATCAAATTATATTTGATTTTGCAAGGAGTTTTAAATTTACTAAGTTTTAGATGCCTTCTAATAAAGAACAAACATTTATTACTTGACTACTATGCAACCCTAAAGAATAACATAGAATCGGCAAAACACAGTATAACTTGGATGAACTTGGAGGATATTATGCTGACTGAAATAGATCGATTACAGAAGGACAACTGTTGTATTAGTCCATTATTGTAAAAAGTCAAGGAAAGGTTTATATGTGGCAGGAAATTTTCTTTGTTGGTTACCAAGGATGGGAGGGGAAGAGAGGGAACACTGTTAGATAGGTGCAGACAGGTATTGATTTGGGTGAAGAGAAGGGCAGTGTACCAGATGTGAGTGATCAGCTCATTGGCATTGAGAAAGAGGAAGACATAGGTGCATGGGAGGTATGACAATGAAGATGAACCTGTTTGCACATATAGTACTGCGTGGTCAGTGATGGCAAACATTGATATATGGGTGGATAGGTGGGTGGACAGGCTGAATGATTAGGTATGTCTATATGGGCAGGGGAGTGTGCCTATGACCATGTATAGGGTTGGCAGACAGTGTTTCTATTAAGTGTATTTGTACTATATACCTATTTCTAGGTATATAGTAGAGCTGACAAGGGACAAGGTTGTGGTGACTTCTTGGCCACAGCCAACTACCCAGAGGGAGCAAGTAGTTGGACCTGTCGGTTCAAGATCATAGTTGCAGGGGACATCAAGCTCAATTGGCATAACATACTATACAAAAACGTTTCATATCCTACTTTGGTGAGTAGCGACTGGGATCTTAAAAGCTTGCAAGCAGCCATCTAGATGCAGTGATGGGTCTCCCCTCATCCAGAGGAAAGAATAATGAAGAAAACCAAAGACACATGGAAGCAATTAGCAAAACACATGGAAGCAACTGGTGCACCATGTCATCCTCAGCCTATATTACTATGAGATCAGAAGAACTGGATGGTGACCACTGTCAACCACTTGAAGGGGGATGTATGTAGGAGATCCTAGATAGAGTGGGAGAACAATGTGGACCAAAACTCAAAATCTTTAAAAAAAAAAAAAAGGACCAGGTTTGCTGGTCTGATAGAGCCTGGAGGAACCCCTCAGACTATGGGCCCTAGCTACCCTTCAGGTCTGGAATTGAACTTACTTCTGTGGCTTCCAGCCAAACAAAAGACAGGCATTTAAGCTGAACATTTACATTAGGTAGATACACTCCTTGGAGAGATCAATCACAGGAGAATAGAAAGGCTGTATATATGTATGCACAGAGAAGACAGGTCAGGGGACAGGAATGCATGGGAGGGAAGGACACAGGGAAGAGGTGGCTATGGGGAGGAAGTGAGAGGAGAACTGTTGCATTGTGGGAGATTGCAGTCATTGTCATGAGACAAAGTGTATGTGAACTGCTGTATGGAAGATGAATTTGCTCTGTAAACTTTCACCCAGATCACAATAAAATTAAAAAATAGAGAAGAATTAATATGAACTCCTTGCCATCAAAAGACTAACTAACCTTCAGAGATTTAAGCCATTTCTCAAGCTTGTACTTTTCCTCTGTGGAGTACTGAGTGTTAACTGAATACAACAAAAATACATATTTTTTGTCAACTGTGTATTTGAGTAAGACATATAATTTTTTGAAAAGGTATTTTAATGGAATTTGAAATTAGCATACTCCCCCTTCATCCCAAATTCTTCACAAAATAGTCATAGCACATTAGTGGAAGGAACACTAGAGAAGGAGCCTGGAGTCCCAGGTCTGCAACTTTTCTTTGCATGGGCACAAACATGAATCTCTTCAGTCAGTTGGCCTGGTAGCTGTCTTACAAATTTCTTGGTATAGATAAGTGAGTGCTTCCAGCATTGCATTTGTTTGTTAAAACATCTCAGTTGGTATTTCATCAGTTCTAGGAGGGTTATTTTTTAACAGTGCCTTCAGTGCAGCTTGGTTGTTGCACTGTAGTAAATTACCTGGTATGGCTTTTCTAGACATAAGTGTTTGTAAACTCCATGGTGGAATTGGCTATGAGCAACCAAGTAGCTCCTGATTGTTAGTTATCCACCTGGGGTATTTCTGTTGGGAGCAGCACAAAATAATTTTCTGGGAAGTTCGCTCGCTCTCAGGTGTATGGAATTCTGATGTTGGGATTGGTTAGTTTGGCCACTTTGCCAGGCTCAGAAGGAGGCCTCCTAGAGGTGGAAGAAGTCTCTCTGACTGCTGGCTGAGAAAGACGTGCTGCTGAAAGAAACTCCTGAGAGACACGTGCTGCTGAGAAAGAGACATTGAGAGACACGCATTGCTGAGAGAGAGAGACATGCATTGCTGGGAGAGAGACTGAGAGAGACTCTTGGCTGCGAGATAGTGGGCTGAGAGAGACTGAGCGTTTTCCCTGAACTTGAATTGTAGCCTGGTGCTTCCCTAATAAACCCCATGATCTGTGAGTTCTATGTGGCCACTGCAGTGGATTATTGAACCCAGCAGAGAGGTGGTGGGTGCTGTGGGAGGAACCATTGGTGTCAGGGCTGGAGGGAGGCGACATGTCTGTCCTCACAGGGATAGGCCTTGGGCTACTGATGGTGATTCTGTCTTCCTCTTGTGGGGTTAGAGGAGGTCAGAAGATGTGGCCTCCTTGTGTCTTTGGCAGTTGTCTTCCCTTAATAACACTGGTTCTTGATCTTATGCTACCTCCTGAAATGGTTGAATGTTGACCAATTTTTTTTGGTACAGTGAATCTGTATATTCCTTCCATCTTCTTTTGATGCCTCCTACAGTGTTAAATATTTTGCCGATAGACTCCTTCAATATTGCAACTGAAGGCTTGAATTTTTCTTCAGTTTTCTCAGCTTGAGAAATGCTGATGTTTTCTTCCCTTTTGGTTTTGTAACTCTAGGTCTTTGTACATTTCACTTTTCCATAATCATTATACTTTAGTAGATGGACCAAGTTTGGATTCTGAGTTCCACAAGAGCACAAACTTTTTGCCACTACTGTATAATCTGAGAGTTTATCCTCATGCTTTGCACATAGTATATCCTGAATAAATATTTCTTAACTATGTATTTTAATTACATATATTTTAAATACTGTTTTGTTACATATCTCTTCATCCCAGTTAACTTGCATGTTTTGAATCAATAACATTGTATGTAATATTTTTTCTTAATGTCTTTGTCTCTCTTTAGGTTGGTATTTTGTATGGCATCTATTTTTATCTAAATTCAAGTTTCTGCGGGAACTGGTGGGAGACACAGGATCCCAGGAGGGAGATCATGAGCCTTCAGGATCAGAAACAGAGGAAGACAGTTCATCCTCTCCACACAGGATCAGGTCTGCTCGCCATAGGAGGGCACCTGCTGATGAAGGCCACTGACCCCAGAGGTAGTCCTTTACTCATGCATGATGATAGGTGGCTGGGAGCCTCTGTCTTCAGTGACTTGGTTTTAAAATTTATTAGAAAACTGAAGAACATGTATATTTGGATTTTAAATCCAACTGAAAAGTAAATTTACATGTAAGCCATATAAAAATAAAGGGAATTATAACCAAATCGGATCATTTCATTTTAAAATAATCTTTAGCTTTACTAGCTTTCTCCTGACACATGTATTCCTTGGCTCTTGGGCTTGTTTCCTTGCAGTGGTGCAAATCTGGTAAACATTACAGGCTTGAAACTCCCTATTTTATTTGTTGTAAAATGTGTGTTTTTTTTCACATTTTAACTTAATCTGAAATTGGGATGCATCTTACAGTTGCTGTCAATCTGATGATAGTTATGATGTAGTTATCCCAGTTTGTGCATTTGTGAACTTGGTCATAGCTTGTCATAGTGTCATCACTTTCAATGAGTATATTGCTGGTATCAAACTTTTCAGGTTTCATTGCATTGAAAAATGTCTTCAAAAAGATTACACTATGATTCAGCATTGAAACGAAAAGTTATTGTGTATGCAGAAAAGCATGGAAACAGAGCTGCAGGGCGTGTGTTTGATATTAGCGAAGCAAATATCCGTCGTTGGAGGAATGACCGCAAGTCCATATTTTCTTGCAAAGCAACAACAAAGTGCTTTACAGGACCTAAGAAAGGAAGATACCCACAAGTAGATGAAGCTGTACTACATTTTGTCAGTGAAACGTGTGCAAAAGGATTGCCTATCACACGCCAAGCGATGCAATTGAAGGCAGGAGAAATCGCCAAAACCCTTGGAATAGATGAAACAAAATTCAAAGCAACAAGAGGCTGGTGTGATCGATTCATGCATCGAGCAGGACTGTCTGTCGCTAAGGCGTCAAACATCATTTTGTCCAAAACTTCCTGCTGACATTAAACAGAGGACAGTGGTAGAGCACTCGCTTAAAAAATGTTGCATTACCAGTGCTTTCAATTCAGAAGGTGATATTGTGTGGAAAAACGCAGATGTTGATGACTGTGATTTGAAAAGTGATTCAGAAGAGGTGGACTCAGAATATGAAGTTATAGTTATAACTTAACCAGTTTACTTCACACATTTTTCTGCACAAGATCAAATTTGATCTGTTTAACTCTAAAAGAGCTCTTCCAGTAAATAATAAATAAACCTTCTGCATAATGAAGTGTTGTGTCACAGTTCACTTAATGTTTTTCTTAGTGATAATATATGGTGCATCTTAACGATTGATGATATCTTAGATTAAAAATTATATTTGTAAATTCATTTTTCATTCTAGTATAGCAGTTATTTATTGGGGAACTTAATTCAGACTCTGTTGCTAAAAGTAGTCATCCTCTATGAAGTACATTTTTTTTTTTGTGGGGGAGTAACCTATTCAAGATTTTAGAGTAGTAATTTAGGACTCTAAGAACTATCTTCTACTTTAGGAAGAGTCGGATTAGTTACTCCTTTGTATGGGAGGACTTTATGCTCAAGGCATATATTGTGGAGAAAATACTTCTGCACAAACAGTTCAATGATACGACCTCAAAGATACTTGGTATTGAGGAAAAAATATAGTGAGTGAAAATACCCACTCGACTGTAAAGTGACTCTTGCCAGGTTTCCATGTTTGTCTTAACTGAACTTTGGACTGAGTGTTTACTAGAGAAGAAACAGATGACTTAAAGAACTTTCTGTTTATTGCTATTTATTGCTTTGTAGAAGAATGGATTGCAAAGCCAACTTATTTTATTAATACAAGTTCTTTTTATGTTTTTAACCTTTGTCTCTCAAGGACTAGTCATCATAAACTATCACCTCTATTTCATGATAGTGTGTACTTATATTTGATACCTCATACGTCATGCTGGTGGTTTTGTTTGCTTATTAACAGTTCACTTGATCTGTCCCAAGTTATATTCCCAAAGAACACCACTTTGCTCTTATTGTAGCTCTTTGGATATGCTAAAAGTGAATTAATTCAAAGAGCATAATTTTAGTTTTAAATATTTTCTAGGGGAAATTCCCCAGCAGCTGAGAGTAGGGGCTATCTTTCTGTCTTCATTTCCTTATTGGACGCAGGGGTTAACAAAACAGTGACATGTTTTGCATTAATTTTAATGCTTCATACTAGCAAAATATCACATTAAAATGATCTTCAGTTAGAAAAAAAATGGCTGGAAAGGTTCTTGGTACTGGGAGGATATTTAAATTGGATCTTTCATAGTCTTAAGGTTTTGAGCTGTAGATTCTGCCTTATGGTGGGTATCTTAGGTTTAGATAATAATAGTTGCTGAAAACCACTTCATTGTATGAACTTCCTATTTTGTCAGCTTTAAAGAACAATGGCTGACAGTGCCCCCAAATCTGCAAGAACAAAACCAAAAACAAACACACTGCCACCGAGTTGATTCTGACTCATAGTGACCCCACTGACCCCCAGTTTCCAAGGCACTAAATCTTTATGGAAATAAGATTGTCCCATCTTCCTTCCATGGAGCGGCTAGTGGGTTTGAACCACCAACCTTCTGATTAGCAGTCAAATGCCTTAGGTATTTGGCCACCAGAGCTCCTTAAATCTACAAGGGTCACCCTCAAATCAGTTGACATTAATCCATGTAAAGGTATACATGTTGGTATTAATTATGGACATTTATACTTCAAAAACATCTTATTTTATGGAATTTTAAGAAGTGTTCTGTAGATTTACTTGAGAAATATACCCAAAAGTGTATTAATAGGCCACATTCACCATGCTTTAATTCTCAACAAGGAAAGTTAAAAAAAAAAAAAAAAAAAATCACTGATGTCAATATGAAAATCCTGCAAACTAATTCCTTTGTTTAAAACTTTTACCCCGCCCTGTAACACAGACATCGTATCACGTGTTTCTAAGGCCTCTAAGAGAAGCAAGAGAAAATAGTGGTTTACACAGAGTTGTTTTTGTAGTATAGTGTTCCTCTTCTTTTTCCTGGTATAGTGCTTTTGTAGTGAACTTACTGGAACTATGTCACAAGTGCATTTTCTGTCTCTCAGTACGAGATACACTAGCCTGTGGTTAATTTTAAAAGTTAAAGTTAGGAGCATTAAAAACATATGCAAATGTTAGACCCTTATCTGCATCCTCACAAAGAATGATGGTGATAAAGTATGTCAGTTTTTGAGGATTTAGTCTGAAATTGAGGATTCTGATAAGTGGTTTCATTTTCTTCCCAACTAACCATTCCCAAATCTTTTCTTCTTTTGCCTCTGAAACTTTTGTGAAGATTGCCTGTATAATTAATTATATTGGTAGCATTGCTCTACTTTAAATGCCAAAAAAAAAACAGTAAATATTTGTGTAGCACTTAATAGGTTTCTAATATTTACATAGTGGCCAATTCAGTCTTGCTGACCTGTTAGATGCTATTAGGTTTAAAAACAATGTTAAGAACCAAATGCTTGGAATATTAAATAATGTTTTCACAAAATGTGGCATTTAAAAATATGTTGAAGAATTTGAAACTAGTTCATTTTTATTTTTAAGAGTAACAAGTTTTGAAATTATTTTACATCAATGCAATCTTTTTTAAAGACAAGTTTTCTTAAAAGCTGTGTTTTAATATAACATGTAACCAGTGTAACTTTAGCTTTTGATGGTAAACTTGAAGTGCTATTGTAGCTGAAGTTCCCTTTGAAAAGCCAATGAGCAGTACTCAAGTTGATAGACTTTCAAGCAATTAATGGAATGGTGTTTTGTCATGGAGTCTAGAACTAAAGCATCTTGTATTGTCTGCTTTTAAAGTATCTTATAGTTTCTAACATAGAGCATAAAGAGTGACATTTTCCATTTGTTAATATACATGTGCTATCTGTTTAATGAGGAATGTTAAGCATTACCCTTCAAGTCAGTTCTATGCATAACCATTCAACAAATACTGCTGCTGTGGTTTCTTAAAGAAAACACCCCGTGCTGTGCAATGATGCATTGTCATCTTGCTGCTTGACAAATAGGTTTGTAAGGAATTAGACTTGTGTTTGTTAATAGTTCCTTTGTATAATGAAATGTTAGTTTAGAGATGAGGAATGTGTATAAATGATCATTTGCCTATTCACTGTTTTTGTTTTAAAACCGCTTGTTAGTATATCTAAAGCTTCTGTGGTATGTGTGATGTTTTAACTTTCACTTTAAACTGCACAAAATAAATTATAATGAAAACAAAAGTTGTAAGAGTCTCATTGATATAATAAATATGATGTGTGCCTTGACAAGAAGGGGTTTGTGGTCATTTTAACTAATGGTCCGGACTGCAGTTCATTTTCCAAAGTCTCTAAAAATTATAAGAATTAAGATCGTTGTAGTATTCCTTGTGCCATCAAAGTGGTTGACTTAGAACCTAGGATAGGCACTATTAGAGCTAGATGACATTTAACATATTTAGCCTTTACTTTTCTTCTCATACTTTATCCACCACCCCCAGGATTGTCTGGAGAATCTCTTTACTACAGGTCATTTCTTACATTTTTGTTAATATTAACCACCAGGAGGATTGAGAGCAGAAACTGACCAAAGCCAAGTATTGATATTGAGGAATGCCTTTGAAAAAATCCTTATAGATAGGAAGCCATGAATTGCAGTGGCTAGGGGTCAAATTGTATGTGTGTGTGTTCCCCCCCCCCCCCCAGCAGTGCTCACCTGCCAAGAATGTAGGATGGGAAAAAGTGGATTGTTCCAGGGCCAGGTTTTATACGGTAGATGTGGCTAAAAGACAAGATCATTAAAGATTGCTGGAAATTGGCCCTAGGATTTGGACTGGGTTGTAAAAGAAGTAAGAGTTTCAAATACTGATAAATTGGGTGCATGGGAAAGAGGAGGAGATTGAAAATACTTAAGAATGTGACATGTATCTATGGTGGGAAGAATAGGAAGTTTAGGACAGTATAGAATTTTAGAGGTGAAGCAGTTCTGAGCAGTGATAAC